TGTTTTCGTTGTTGTGTGTGTGTGTGTGTGTGTGTGTGTGTGTGTGTGTGTATAATGGGGGTGTGAGTGTTCTAAACCATGCACTTGTTCTGGTTACTTTCAAATGTTGGGTATCCAAACTTGACACCTTGGGCCTAACTCTTTTTTTAAGAGGGATTCCAATTACCCGTAGTTCCCATGGACATTCACCAGTGTTGTGGGTGTTTTTGGCTCTGAAAATCAGGCCCACTGCGGCTCAGACCGGGCACCCAAAAATAGAAGACAACCAGAATGAGTGAACTGACTTTGGAAATTTTAGGTCTAAATTTGGGAATTTTGTAGCACCTGGAAAATTTGGGGCTAGCTGGGATTATGGGTTGTCATGGGTGATTTCAACGTACAGAGTATTAGTTTAAAATTGCAGTTGTTCCTTTGGAGCCCCATTCATTGTGCAGTATAAATACCTAGATAAGCATCACAGAGCTGATGTCTACAGCTAACACAAGTATCAGGGGGTAGCCGTGTTAGTCTGTATCTACAAAAACAACAAGGAGTCTGGTGGCACCTTAAAGACTAACAGATTTATTTGGGCATAAGCTTTCGTGAGTAAAAACCTCACTTCTTCGGATGAGAAGTGGGAAACTTTTTACCATAGGTTGAGGACTGAAATGACTCCCTAGCATTATGCGTAGATAGTCCCCAATTCTGGGGGCTAGATCATGACTAACAAAATACGCCAGTTGGCACACTGTGATTTTTGGTTATGACAAAGTAACTTTCAGGAATTTGAGCATTTCACAGGTTTCACAAATGTGCTAGACGGGGGGGGGGGGGTAGTTTGTCCTTAAAGGTCACTGTACTAATTAAGATTGAGAGAGAGTGAAACTGAAAGTTTGTTTGAAAGTCAGAGGTGGTTTTTTTGTTTGTTTTTTCCCCTCCTTTCAGTAAACGACTAAGCCACAACCAGGGCTGGCTCCGGGGTTTTTGCCGCCCCAAGCGGCAAAAAAAAAAAAAAAAAAAAAGGCCGTGATCAGCGGCTGCTCCACCGCGCCGCTTTCTTATTCGGCGGCAGGTCCTTCCCTCCAAGAGGGACCCGCCGCCGACCAGCCCGACATGCCACCCCTTCCCCTTGGCCGCCCCAAGCACCTGCTTGCTGAGCTGGTGCCTGGAGCCGGCCCTGGCCACAACAAAATATAAATAAGTAGCATCTCTGAGAGGGTGAATTCCTAATATCCCCTCTCAACACCTTCTTCCATAGTAGGCCATCTCTTGTGGGTACAGGCCAATGCGTGTTCATTTTGTCCAATTAATTACAAGTTTTTGTTTCTAATTAACTATGCTGCCAAAAAACTATTTGGCAGGGGGGGAAAAGTCTGAATCATATATATATATATTTTTAACATCTCCTCTTCTGCCCGGAAAACATTCCAGTACAAATATCCATAGAGCAATTGCCAACTAAAGTATAGTGTATGCTTAAAGTTAAACTTCTTATTTGTATTATCATCGCACCTCAGAGCTTCAGCCTTGGCTCAGGATGCTATTGTGCTGTGTGTTTGTCCAAACACTAAACAAAAAGAGAACTGACTTAATCTTCTAATGTCCTCATTTGGGAGACCTGTACTCAGGCAACTTTAATATTTACTTCGGAGGGAATTCTGCGCCAAAAAAAAATTCCGCATACAATATTTTAAAATTCTTCAAATTTTGTGTGTCAATAAATAAATGTGGAGGCTCTACCATGGCAGTGGGGAGCAAGGCCATTGGCTGCACGGAGGTGGGAGATCACCTATAGTGCCCTCTCCCAACTCCTGGGACATGGGCTCGGCAATCAGGCTGCACCCAACCAAGACACAGCGCAACGACCGGGCCTGCCCCAGAAACGCTCAGCAGCATTAGTCAGGCAACAAAGTTTGGTTTATAGCATATCCAATAACATTGTTTTCCCTTTTTAGTTAAATGAACTGTAAATATGTTGAATGTAATGTCTTTATAATTAGCTTTTAGAGGGTCCTATCTTTCAGCCTTTCCTTTTCAGTAGCCTCATTGACACAAGTGGATAAGGGCTGCAAGATCAAGCTGCAAACACAATTTAAAAAGCTTTGTGCCAAGAAAATGTTTGTTTGGAGAAGTTCTCACCTTAAAGCCTCTTATCTGCTTCTGTGTCCTGATATATCCAGCTGAACCACTGCATGAATTCACATAGAGAAGTGGCAATGAAAAGTGAAGGGGGAAGGAGAGGCGATTCATTCAGAACTTAAGAAGAAAGCAAAATGTGGGCTATGTATTTGTATTGCAGTACTGCCTTGGGGTTCCAACTAAGTGTGGGACCCCATTGTGCTAGGCATTGTACATAAATACAGTAAGAGGCCATCTTGAAGGGCTTACAATCTAAATAGACAAGACAAAGGGTGGGAAGGGAAACAGGCACAGAGTAGAAAAGTGAGTTGATCCAGGTTATCCACCAGGGTCAGTGGCAGAGCCAGGAATAGCATCCAGGTCTCCTCACTCCCAGTCCCCTAACTAGGGTTACCATATTTTGTGCCTCCAAAAGGAGGACACTCCACGGGGCCCTGGCCCCGCCCCAACTCCGCCCCTTTCCCAAAGTCTCCGCCCCCTCCCCTGCTTCCCGCGAACATTTGATTCGCGGGAAGCCTGAAGCAGGTAAGGGGGGTGTGGGGGGAGGAGGCGCGGCCCAGTCTGGCCCCCGGCGTCTCCAGCCTGGGTCGGCTCGGGCCCTGGGGTGCCGGCCCGCCCAGCACTGCTGGTCCCCGGCCCGTCCCCCGCGCCGCCGGCCCGTCCCCCGCGCCGCCGGCCCGTCCCGTCCCCCGAGCCCCCGGCCCGGCACCGCACCGCCGTCCCGTCCCGATTTTCCCGGACATGTCTGGCTTTTTGGGATTTCCCCCCGGACGGGGATTTGGAGCCCAAAAAGCCAGACATGTCCGGGAAAATCCGGACGTATGGTAACCCTACCCCTAACCATCATACATGCTGCCCCTCAGTACCTTTTAACTTGTAGGCCCAATGGGTAAGCTGAGATCTTTCTCTAACTGGATGGGGTTGGGTAGATCTAAACTGTAATAAAACGCCTGCAACTGGCCCGTATCAGCTGACTCAGACTTGGCAGCAGGGCTATAAAATTGCAGTGTAGACATCCGGGCCCGGGCTGCCATCCCTCCCAGTATCTTCGCTATTTAGATCTCTGCTTGGAGATGTTCTTGCTCCAATCTCTGCTGCTCCGTCACACTTCCCCTCCTTTCTAAAGGATGCATTTTTGTATTTGTGTCTATCTCAAACTATGTAACTTCCTCAGACAATTCTATCTGTGCTCACAGATGTACTGTAAATTACATGGCATTCTGCATCCAAAACAAAGATGACGGGTCCCTGTTTTACATGCAATACAGAAACCAAGCTTAATATAGAAGCACCACTCTGCTTCTACTGACTAGTCATTAAAGAGCATGCTTAAAGAGCAGTTTGGCGGTGGTATGCTAAAGTTGCAGGACTGGCGGACCTCCCGCAAGCATGCCACCGAATCTGTGGGACTGGAGACCTCCCACAGGCAAGCCACCAAAGGCGGTGCTTGGGGCGGCAAAAAAGCTAGAGCTGTGTGTGTGTGTGTGTGTGTGTGTGTGTGTAGTGTATATATATATATATATATATAGTAGTAGT